CGGCTCCGTCCTTATTAATAATAGGGTCCTTAAACAAGTAGCTCCAAGGATAAAGCGAGCTGAAATTTCTGTCTCTAGTCTGTCTCGTTCGGTAATAGGCTCTTCTACAAGTATACTTAGTATCTTGTCGATACTTCCCCTAGCTACGAATTCTTACGTACCCCGATTATTCGCTTGATCTATAGCTACCGTATACGCTGCCCTTGCTATATCCTCTAATTCTGTTATCTCCTCGTCAAACTCCTACTACGACTCCTCTTCTTTATCCTCTCTCTCTATATCTGGTCGACTCTCCTAGAGAGAATTAGGACCCGTCTCCTCCAAATCTGGATAATCGAAAGGATTGTAGTCTTAGCTAAGCGAGATATCTTGATCCTAGGTACCTATATCCTCGTCGCTATACTGAAAATCTGCTTGACTGAGCGGTATACCTAGTTGCCTAAAAGGAAAATCTGAATTCTCGGAAGCTATCTCCTCGTCTTCTTCTTCTTAGGTATTAACATAATCGAGGAGAGCCTAGAGATATTCATCCTCTGTCGTTAGGGGTACCGTATTATCGTCCTGAGCATTCTCCTTGTTAGCTAGAGGATGACCAGTTTGAACGCTAGGATTAGTATCTGGATCGTATTCCGAGCTCTTATCACCGCTCGAAATCACGATAGTCGCCTGCTTCTTACCGTCTGAATCGTTCAAACCCCTATTATCCTAATCGGCGCTAGGAGGATCTTGATCGTTCCCGTCTGTCTGGCCACCAGTATCTGCATTATCCTAATCGGTACTAGGAGGATCTTGATTGTTCCCGTCTGTCTGGCTACCGGTGTCGCTATTATCCTGATCGGTGCTAGGAGGATCTTGATTGTTCCCGTCTGTCTAGCTACCGGTGTCGCCATTATCCTAATCGGTGCTAGGAGGATCTTGATTGTTCCCGTCTGTCTAGCTACCGGTGTCGCTATTATCCTGATCGGTGCTAGGAGGATCTTGATTGTTGGCGTCTGTCTGGCTACTAGTACCGGTTTAAGTACCCGTTTGAGCGCTAGGGTTATCGGGATCATCTGAGCTCTCGTCTTCGCTTGAGAACGCGGGAGTCTTCTTTCTCTTCTTCGCAGTCGGCTTCTTTAGAGTTAGCTTCGATTTCGTCTTCTTCGTCTTTGATCGAGGCTTATATATCGTACTCGGGTTGACTGGGCTAGAGCTATAGGGAGCAACTACGTAATTGTCTAGCTAGACATTCTACTCCTTCAGCAGCCTACGAAGACATTCGAGATCTTTCGCTATTACTATAACTCGCTTGTAGTAGATAGCGAGAAGATTGGCTAACGAAAAGACTTTCGTCACTATGCTCTCGTACTGTTCCTAGAGGATGCCGAGTGCGCTCGCTTGGATCCGTATAGGGAGGTAGTCTTCGGTAAAAAGGATGATAGCATCCCTAACGATGCGTACGAACGCGAGCTTTAGGATATAGTTTATAACCTCCGTCTGGCATTTTTTGATCTCCTACAAAGCTCCCTCTAAAAGAAATGTTAGTACATGCCGACCACATGTGCCGACTACGTCTGCCGACCAGGTATACTTACTGCCTCTCTTTTTTTGATTTTTCTTTACACCTACGGATAGAAGCCCTTTCCTACCTGTTGCGCTAGGGAGTCTCTTTCTAGATGTTCGTAGTACCTTTCTAGCGATTGAAAGCTTGCGGCGCGCTGCGAGTAACGGCGCTATAACGATAGCAGCAGCAGGCGGTGTAGCAGGCAGAGTAGCAGGCGGAGCAGCAGGCAGAGCAGTAGGCAGAGCAGTAGGCGGAGGCTAGGAGGGGTTGTAGCGGATAGGGGGCGGGGCGGGAGGGGGGGGGTCAACAACCAATGTTAATATCGCAAGTTAGGTTTTTTTGGAAGTAGGGAATACCTTTGAAGGCGGCGGAATTTAGGGTCCAGGGGCGCGACCAATCAGAAGCGAGGGATTCTTTGTCTACGTAGGGTAGGCACCTGCCGTTTTTGGACAATAGAAGTGAGAAATAGTAAAGTGAGATCGCCGGAAATAGGAAATGTTGATATAACGACCGTATAAGCAGTGCCTAGCCCGTGAACAAGAGACCTAGAGATTTATATAGATATGATTAGTACGGGAGACAACATCTTACGGAAGCTCGTTTTCGGGTTATCTTATATATCTGGTACTAATTCTTCAAGTACTAGCCTCGAAAACGATGTCAGGAGTGTATGATCGGCAGACGTAGTCGGCGAATTGCTATAAGATCAAAGCTCGGCACTTGAATTCGCTTCTCCTACGAAGCGCTTCCGAATCCAGCGACAAAGTTTTATGTCCTTCTGTTGTAAGGTTACCCGTTTTGCGTGAATCGCTAGCATATTAGAGACTTCGAACTCCTGTATAAGAAAAGCTTCCGTTGCTTCCTACAAGCAAAGTAGAGCCTTAGCTTGAAAACGGCA